AGACGCTACACGAGGACCACTCAATTCCAAGAACTCTCTAGCCATGAGTCGTAGTAGCAATGCACTTACACTTGAAATCCTCAAGATGCGGTAGGCGTGGCTGCGTACTTCAACTAAACGTGGCGGTGGCTGTGCTTCTGGTGAGATATTTTCATTTTGAAACAATTGTGGTCATGTCTCTGTCCACCATAGAACAAGATGGCAGTTGTCTCGAGTTGAAATATCCCACGAGTAACCCATCCTATGCCATGTCCAAATGCCACGCCTACCCCGACTCAGGGATAAGGAGTATACATGGGTTCTCTGTTCTCCCATAATCTAAAGAAAATTTTTCCAGTTGAAGCCACTCAAATCGAAACGAAAAACGTATTCCCCTTTCAGCTATCACAACGCCACCTGCCAGAGGTTGGACGACCTAATAGGTAAATGGACTCATCTACCGCTCCTCCTCCGCCGCTCGAAGGACAAGTTTTGGGAGAATTCTTCGTAGGAAGCGGATATGAAAGGTAAAGTAGCGGCAGGTTGTGGAACGGGCCTCTTTTTGACGGTTTGTAGGGCCACCAACAATTCATTCATCTCGATGATATTCTCTGCGCACTTATACTTTTCGATTGCAGCCTGGCACGGAAGTTGGTGCTGTTCAACATGGCAGAGATCTCGCAGGGCAACTGGCTGTGGCTATCGACTACGGGGTTAGCCCTGACCCTGGCAAATTCAGCGCATCTATTTCCCGCAACAACCTTCTACTACGGCGGTCGAGGAGCAACGAGGGCCGTAAGCATCTGTCGTCATTGAGCAACTGTGACACGGCAGCGAAGATACGCTTTTATCGCATCGCTTTTTTCTAATACGGCGATCTCTCAGCGGAGAGGTGGGATCAACGTGCAAATCTCCTCGTCGCGCTGCTGTCCACTGTGACCCTCATCCCCTCAGGCGACTTTTGATAAGTAAGCGAAGCATTTGTCGAGGTCAACGGCCTGTGCCATAATCCTGACGTTTCCCTATGTTCAAGTTCATCGGTATTCAGCTAAACAGATAACTGTCTGAGAATTACATGTATGAATCTGTCTGATAGTTCTCTTCATGATTTTTCACAGTCCGGACGCATCGGCCAGCAATGCATTGACCCTCGTAGCAGATAGGTGTCTCTTCAAATCCAGCACACATGGCTCCTGCTCGAAGCTTGGCTATACATTGCAACCTGCCGTTAACTGGATGACAGAAGAGGAATCTGGAATTGTATCTTTTTTCCAAACTTTCTCTTCCAATCCAAGTAAGATATCCGAAGCTTCCGACTTGTTATCTATCCACAATTCAAGCTTCATTGTACAAAATGCCTGAGAAATGGATCCTCCCTGTGCATCAGGTGAAAAGATCCTATGCATGTGGCCATAGTTAGGTTTACGACTGCTCGTATAGCGTGTTCCATGTCTCGCGTGCGTGGTGCGTACCGAATGGTGAGCAGAGACGTAAAGAAAATAAACAATAACAAGTCTTTCTTGCCGCGCATTTTGAATGGTGGAAAGGTACAGTTATACTTTTGCGAGCCTTCCCACGTCGCACACGGGCAGGATCCACGTTCCAAGCGTTTTTAATGAGTTCTCTGCACACTGTCTTGAAAAACGGGTCGGGTTCTGATACGTTCCAGGTAGCGGTGAGGCTGTTGGATGGAAACTTCTATTGAAGAGTACGACTACTGGGTTGGCTAATATGTGATGGGGTTTTTTTCATGAGACTTACCGCTAGCATTAAAATAGGGATTAGGTTTTTTTACCATTGCGTTTTCTTCTGTTTGAGAGAAAGTTTCCTGCTCTAGAGGCCAGTCAGCGAGTAATTAATTTACTTGAGTTTTATCAACTTTTTGATGAAAATTTTGAATTTTTTCAAATTTAAGTTTTTGGTCATCAAAATGAGGCAGCGGGAGGACACAAATGAAGCTTTTCGACACCGTTTTTTTATTCTAGACGCTTAAATTGCAGAAGTTTCTCAAATTTTCTCCTCAATTGAGAACGATGCCTTTCAAGGCGGCTTGAATTTGGTTGAAGCGATTTAGGGATGAGAATTTCAGCCTTTTTTTTTAGCCTTGTAAATGCTGCATCGTATCGCACGCCCTCTACAGAAAGCGACTGCCCTGCTCAACTCATGCACCAAAATTTTGTCCGGTGCCTCTGCCATCAACTTGAAGAGTAACGCCTCAGTGAGAATTTTGGGACGAGCGACGACCATTGAGCTCTCCCAGCGGGGCTTTCTTCGCGGCGTGCGTTCTTCATGAATAAGCACTTACTTCCGCGCACTCCCCCGCCCGAAAAGCCCTTCATTTGAAGATAAAGTCGTCCGCCTGCTGGATCTCAACGGACATCAGTGCGATGCTTAGCTGTGAGGTACCGGAATATTTGAGTAGTTTGAACCAGCTTTGACCTTCCTTAAGAGACATCTATTCTTGGCCATACTTCGATAAATAAGCGTCAGCGCAGCTTTTTAATAGATGTAGATGGTATCGGAAATGCATAATCTCGTCAACGAGACACTGCACTGCAAGCTTTCAAAGATTAGTTACAATAGGACTCTCAGAATGAATAGCGTAATATTCGTTCTTATAGAGCGAGGAATTTTCTATCGAATAGTGTAGAATTTCTGGCAAAACGTTCCATCTTCAACCAAAAAGCTCAAGTCAGAGAAACGCCTCTACTTATGAGAAAACCCATTACTAATTCCATGTTATTATGCTGTAAACAACACAGCATGGCAATACTCCGCTCCCAGGAGATTGACTTGTCACAGAGCAGCCTAGAAAACATAAGGTTTCAATTGAGATTCCACCTGACAGCCTTTTTCCAACACGAAGGGTATCGAAACTAACCTTGAAACCAGGTTTTCTGAAGAGAAAAGCGGGATCAACTAAATTGGATTGTACTCTGGGCGCTATGAAATGTTTTTAAACCAGAATCATCTACATAGAATCTGCATGCAGTCTGCTATTTCAAAGCTATAAGGGTCCTCACTTTGATCCACAGTCGGGCTTCATGCGCGAACAACTTGGCCTCTTCTCGTACTCGTACATATTGTCAGTGTAATCGTTTGAAAGGGCATCCTGATTAGTGAAGGGCTCCAGTTCCTTAATGCATTCTGATAATCGAAAAGAATGTACGAAACTCTGGCGCGATTCCGATATGGTGGGGCATCTTGGTGCAGAAATTCATGGCATTACGGTAATCCAAATTTCGCTCGTTATTTTCGGTACGCACACGTTTCGTCGATACTTCGATGATGAAATGGGTGGCATTCGGTGATGAAAGGTGCGAAGAAACTGACTCAGGAGTGAGAATTTCTGCCTAGGTCTTAGAGAGGGGCGGGATGGGAGGGGGAACAAAGGAGATCTGTAGTGGATAAACAGCTCTACTGAAACTAGGTAGCGATTATTTATTCACTTTATTTTCTGAACCTTTCTCACGAAAAAAATGGGCGCTGGTCGGCTAATGGCTAATTGGGGGAAGGGTGTCTAGCGCTAGGCTATTCTGTGAACGCCCGTAAACTACTGCAAAACCACGAAACGGTACGAGCTCAATATCTCATTCATACACAGGCTGGTCATAAGAGTGTCCTGGTGGACAGTTCCATAGCGAAATCGATAACGTTCTCTACAGTTGAATGTTTTGCCTGGCCGATGTCGCCGTTGTTCCTGAGTTCAGTACGGAATCGTACCACCGCCTCCTTCGCGCAAGGTTTTTCGGTGCGAGGAGAGTTCAAAAATGGAACTGTCAAGACCGCCGTCAATCAAGATCACCTCACTTCTCTCGCTGGACTTCGGAAGAACTCCGTCATCGACAATATCGACGAGGAACACGAGTGGCTTGTTGCACATCTTCACGACTGCGCCAAGAAGTCAGAGAGTTCCAAGATTACCAAGAAGCGTCTATCTCTGGAAACTCTCGAGCTGATTCGCCAACGTGGAGCCGCACGAGCCGCAGGCAATTACCAGCTGACGTCTGAGCTTGCGAAGCTATGCAGAGAAGCGATAAACGAAGACCTTAGGAATACTGTCGAGTGTTCACCCACTGTCAGATTAGGATGATTGGCCTCCGACGTCAACACGGAACAATCACTGCATCCCTAAGCAATGGAGAAGGTGTTCGACAGCCAGTCCACCTGGAGCAGGTCTTCCTTTATCGCTTCTATGCGTAGCATCGTATGGATACGTCGTTCTCCAGTTCTCCTTCCGAAGTCCGACGTGCCATCTCGTCTGTAAGAATCGTACGGCACCTTGGTCCCGACAGGATCAGACCCGAACATCTGAAGAATCTTCCGCCAGTTCCTGCCAATACCCTGGCTCGGCTTTTCACGCGTTAGCCGCAACATTCCCACATTGCAGAAAATCACAGCACGTCTTTGCTGTTGTACAAGAGGGGAGACTTGCACGACACTGGCAATTATCGCCCAATCTGCCTGCTGTCTGTTGTCTACAAACTCTTCAGACGAGTGATGAACACGACTGGCGCAACACTAGATGAAAGACAGTCACCATTCGGGGAACGATTCAGCACGAACGATGATCCGCACACTGTAACGAAGCTCACCGAAGTATCGCGAGAGTACAAGATGTTATAGCTCACATCAATTGTCTTTAAGAAAACCTCCGACTCATTGAAATAGAAGCGATTATCGAAGCCAGGGGCAACCAGAGCGTTTCCACTCAGTGCTTCAGGATTCTTCGTGAGGTCTGAGATAACGACAAACTGCACAGCGCATTCCTCGAGTACGTCATGTATCAACCAACTGGGATGGGAAAACACCACACCCTCTCCGCTTGGCTAACGGCTTAGTTCTGATACGTCTAACATCAAACAAGCCAGCAGCTGGTTTCGACCACGCGAGTGGAGAAATCGGTGCGTCTGACTCCGGCGAAAACGATGTTCATGAAGAACGAAGTCGTTTAGATGCCCTGCTCCAGCTATGTGTACCTGTGTCGGGGAAACAACATGATGAACAACTTAGCACCAGCTGAGCAGTAGGAAACAAGAGGCTCGAAGAGCATCCAAAAACAGCGAGGGAATAGCGAGGAAGATGAAGAATACCTGGCTCTATGCCCACCTGCTCACTTCTTCGACCCGGCTTGGGGCGTCCTTTACGGCTTTTCTTCTCTTCACTTCTTCCTTCACTCTTTTCTTCACTGCTGATTCAGTTAGCATCTTTATATTTAAACTCCACATCCCATGAAATTTGTGTTGAGTATTCTCTTTGAGTGCTACCAGTCCGCCCCACTAAATGGGAACAGCAACAAAACTTGAACCGATTTTTTATGCTGAACAAAACCAGATGGTTGATTTCAAGGCGTCGTACCATGAGTGATGCATTCGCAAAATGTGTGCTCGGATAGCAGTCGTCGAATGGAGGTGGGTAGTCGCTTTCTCGTTGTTCACGTGTCTATGATATTGCCCTCTCATGAAATGTAGTTGAATAATACGGTCACTTTACAAATATGTGTGATTAATGAGAAGAACACTGGTCTTACCTGGCGTAACTGTCTCCACATCTCCCAAATGCTATCGACCATCGTATGGTGAAAGAAGAAAACTGGCTAAATCTGTGTTGTCGATTGATAATGCTAAGAATTGTTAAACAGAAGCCGCAACTTACGTCACTCGTGGACGAGTATGTCTCCCTCATGTCACCGTTGATGAAGTAATGCACATAGTCATGAGAGTACGATAGCAATCGTTCATCCCGAATGATTATTTTGCATGTCTGAAGTAGCAACGAGAATCGCTAGAGATACATGCCACGACCAACTAAGAGGCAAAATATTTAGATAAGGATGGCAGGTAACCGCTTAGGATTAGGGTTTGTCATTTTGTTGCTCGAGCGTGAATGCGCCAGAAGTTCGCTACGGTATTTTCGCGATGCCAAACAACACCCGTCCGTTGGCAGGCATCTTTCGGTTGTGGAGCTGTTGTCAAGCTAATTGTCAAATTTGTAATTTCTGTCAAATTTCTATCGCTATGAGATAGAAAGAGGTTTTTTTGAGAGAGGTGGGTATGTAACGGTGGATCACGCGGCGTAGCGCTCGACAAGGCGAATACCGTACGCCTGCAATCGGGCGTGCGCTCGCGCCGCTTAGGACAGCGATATTTTGCTGCGACGTCTTCAAGGGAATATTCATCGTACTTTAACAATACAAGGATTGGTATGGTCGCTGACAGCATGCTGTCCAGTAAGCATTGCAACTGTCAAATATTATTTTCGTAACTCTTCTGGCCTTCCGAGATTTTCGAGGCCTAATTAACGAGCACTACATAAACTATGCATGCTCGAAGTTACAATCAGAACGGAGCCCATTAAGGTAGTTAAAATCGCCCATTCTTGTCAAATTCTTTTCACTCAGTTTTTGACCTCCCCAGAAACGCATAGCAAAAATGAAACCCATTTTTGTGATCCTTGTATGGACCCCTACAACAAGCAACAAACCATTTCCAAAAAGCGCGCCACGACCTGAAAGACCTCCCTTGTAAGTGTAAAGCACCACTCAGAGTTGAAGCGAATGCAAGCGTACGGTATTTGTGGTCTGCCCGCACTACATCTTGTGATCCTCAACTCCACCTCTCCCGCGAGATGGGCACGCTCGCCGTCTTCATTCTCCTTCTAGGATGTCTTTTGCCGAGAGAGAACATATTAAGTAGATGCAGGCAGTAGAGGCTTTACAATTGATTGTTACTTTATGTTTCGACATCTTTGGACTCTCAAGCAGACAAAATCGTGAAACGTTAGTGGAGTGATAGGATTGATCTGAAGGCCCTCACATCATTTCTCAACTCGAAATGATGAACAAATCAGTTGTGAGCCGTAATAAAATGGCTTGGGTAGAAGGTGAAGAGCTCATGGAATGCAGATAGGGCGGAGCGTTCTGAAACATGGCGATGTTAGTAAAGAAATTACGCAAGTAATCAGCCGTTGAACGGAAGTACAAGTGATATAGCCGCAATCAGTCAGGACGATGTCGGAGGGAGGGAATGAGCACTTGTTCTCCATGTTTTGTTTTCCAGTGTTTTCTTCGTCAATCAAATGATCACCACTGGCAGAGCAAAGCAGCCGGAGGCGGGCTAATTCCGCCTCCTGCTGCTCCGCCTTGCTGTGATTTTAACAAGTATCCAGCGAAGCGCCACTTCCATACCCATGATCCTATGATGAACTCTTGAGTGGACTGGTGTAACGTTCTCAATGGTCATAAGCAGACAGATAGTACCCTAATCTCACTGTTGCAGTTGCTCCTCTTTCGATCTAGTGGGACGCTGGGGGTACGGCATTGGTGACTCATCTCACGCCTAGTATTTGGAGTTCGTGACAGCCGACTGCGGGAGCTATCTATTCCCGACGGGGTGAGAGAAAAACTCACTGGTTGCGAGAAAGTGGCGCGTGCAGAATTTCGTCGCTGCGATAGGTCGGCCGAGGACTGGACACCGAGAGGCCTTAATACCACTGCGATTTGTCAAACTAGCTCTTTACCAATCCATGTTATCCTTTAACAAGTGCATCGGAGCGCGCATGATGGGCACAATCGGTGACACACACGATACGCTGTAGAGTCAGTACATCTCTTGTTCAAGTCATCGCCGTCTCGACGACATTCCCATTATGTCCCTCACACGCGTATGCGGCGTTATGAACCCAGTGTCCTAATTGACACTTTTCGCCCACGGATCAACCACACTAAATCAATCCGCCCTACTTATAAACTGCTATGCGTTCAGTATCTACACAGAAGAAGCATTTCGGCAAGCGAAACAGTAGCTCAGCAAACATAAGCGGTAGCAGCGATGAGACTACGTCTGCCAGCGGGATGGCACGTTGTTCGATCGATTTTCGGCTTTACAGAGTCTACAAAAGACAATGAGACTGTTTACCTCGTTTGCCTTGGGCACACATCGTTGGTTGGGGAATCCCCAACAGGGGGGTCGTATTTGGCCGCCAGGAGGGGGGGGTCGTAATGAGTGCGGTAGCCAGTAACGAGCAGCGCAAAGGTGTCAGTGTGCTGAGTACAGCGAAACTTGCTTTGTAGAGAACTCGGATATGTAAAAAAATAGTACAAAACTTTCATTCATCAAACTAATCTGAAATAACTGGAAATATAAAAAGTCGACATCATCTCGTAAGTGACTAAACAGTACAACTCATACTCTGGTTCGCTGCGGATGATGGGCGTGTCCGCGATCGCGCTTGGCGCTTGAGCCAACCTGTTTTTTTTTTCGACACACACAGGACACCATATGGCCGCTATTCGATAGACGTTTTCCAGCAGTTGGTCTCCTTTATCGGAGTCAGCAATTGGCGGAGCACGAATCTGGCAGCGTCGACAGGGACATGTTCCATCATACGCAACGGAAAACACTGTAAACAAGTGCACAGGTTCGCCATGGACCTCCCTGAACCTATAGACACATTTGCTCGGTGGGCAGACATTACGCACAAATTGCCCACCATTCCAGATCACCTGCCTACGCGGACCTCAGTGCGCGGCGCATCCAAAGTTAGCATGATTGGCGCTAAACAAACCACATCCTGCTCCTGCTCCACCATAGGATACGTTCCACATGTAATTCTGTTTATTTTCAAACACGCTCGCTTGAAACCGTACACAGAAAACGGACTTTCGAACAGTTCGGAGTGTTCCCCGAAAATTCCCCAACGCAATTATCTCATGAATCCCGGGAACTTCAGAAACCAGTTTGAGTAGTTTTTGGAAAGAGAAAATCTTCTAGAATTCGATAACTGGTTTCAGATTTGTAAATGTTGAGTTTCAAGGAAAATATCTTGATTCAAACCTGTTCAGTTTGCCCTGCAAACTATCCAAAAAGTGTGCTCCCCAATAAATCCCCAACGCTGATTTCTCTGTGGTTTCGGCGACCTTCATAAACGTTTCAGTACTTTTAGGAAGATCAAACCTTCCTCTACACGACTGCGGTCTCCTCTTTCCCACAGGTCCGCTTTTGAGGAAGTTATGGCCCTTCAAAGACACCCTACTTTCCTGAAAACTCGCGCTCCATCAAACCACCTTGCAACCACCTTGCACCGCTGGTCCTGCCCAGAATCCCTCCCCGATCCCTCGGCCTTTAATCAGCTGATTTCGGCTGGCTTGCTATCGTTCGTGTTTATTTTGTTATATTCTTTTATTATTTATTTTCCGCATTTTCTTGTGTGATATGAGTCTGCTGCTTTAACATATTAGGTTTAGGATCGATCGATTGGTTCCTGCCGTCGTGCGGAATTGGGAGAAATGCAGAATCTGCAAGATTCCGCCATTTCTGCATTTCTCCAATTCCGCGGCTTTTGGATAGCGCAAAAACGTACTTTCTATTTCTTCTGCAAGTTCCGCGTGAAAGTGAATTCCCTTTCAGGGTCTCTCTATCATGCTCTCTTCACTTGGAACTTTTCCTGAAAACCTTTCATTGCGTCAACTTAGTCGGCCGTTTCATTCCAGTTAACCGATAGTGGAAATGGCATCGCTTCGCCCTTGATCGGAAATCAAATTTGCTACTTTTCAGTTGCATTCCATTTTGTTTGTTACTTTGAAAGTAGGAATCTAGCAAGCTGCTGTCAAAAGTCGTTTCCAGAAGTTTTGCTCACTTACACTCCTTATCCCTGAGCCAGGGTAGGCGTGGCATTTGAACATGGCACGGAACTGGTTACTCGTGTAATATTCCAGTCTATGACAACTGTCATCTTGTTCTGTGTTGGACAAGACACGAAAACAATTTTGTCAGGATGAAAATATCTTACCAGAGGCGTAGACTCCTTCAGGTTAAGTTCAAGGATGCAGCCACACCTACCGATCTCAGGGATTTCGAGTATAAGAAGGTGCAGCTGGTGCAGCTTCAGGTTTTAGTATAGCTTCTGATCGGTCCTTGTGAATGATTCGCTCCCTACCCCTTATCCTATAAAGGTCCCCAATACGAGTCTCAATCTTTTCTTGTGTGACTTCTAAGCTGTTAGTGAAATCTGCTTTCGCATAAATCATTTAGGCTGACCGTGCTCCAAAAGAGATCAGTAATTAGTCAGAAGAATTAGCAGTGGTCAGGTGCGTGACAACCATAAGAGTTGATTAACTCCAAGCACTTTTTCCTTCGTACCCCATGAAAGACAGTTTATGGGCTGGTGTTTGGTTCATTGGAGCTCTCGAACAAGGTGTTTGAGCACTTGGAGTTTTCCATCTTTGAAGTTTTCTCAGGATTGCCCTTCTGGCAGGACAGCCATTGGCGGTATGTTGCGAAATGGGACGATGTGTTCGACCTCACCCCATCGAAGAGGCGTCCAGTTATCGACCCCCTCCCCCTCCGCTCTAACTGCACGAACCGATGCATGTTCACACCAAATGGCTTCCTGAAATGGATTTTCGAAAGGCGGACTCTGCTCTAAAATCCAGGCAATAATAGGCTGTTTCAGCCTCATGCAATATGAGGCTGAACAACAGCCTCGCATTACCTACAATTTTGTCTTAGGATTCAGAATAAAACTAGATAAAACGTTCGACGACCATGTATGATATGCAACTTGTAACAAGGAATGCAATCGAAACAGCGACTAATGGTGATCATTGATAAGCTAAATTGGTGAAAAAATAGCCCCAAGGTCAGCGTGTCAGGCCCCAGATGTGCATTCAATGAATGGTGACGGGGAAATCATGAAAACATGCAAAGACACAACAAAGCGAAACATGTGTGAAGCTGGGTCCCGCCATCCAAACTGAGGTGCAGTTTGGATCGCCCGCCTTCGGCGGGCGATCCTCCTTATGCGTGTGACCCTCCGCCATATAAAATTTTTTTCTGCAATTCCAGACTATTGCCGTTTCACCTTTGGTATATACCCCCCTAGTGGATGGTTGTGAAGTTTTCGTAAAGGCGAGGGGTGGAATGTCGGTACTCGATTTTTTTCGTGAGTCCATTTCAAGTATGCCTCCTTCAATTCAACCTCGACCCACTTCTTATTCCACGGTTTGCCGCTGCTCGGTGTTTCGGTCGACTAGAAACTTCTCACTTGTCCCTTGGCTACCCAGACAAAAGACGGTATTCGACTACAGGCTGCCGCTGCTCTTTCCAACGCCATTCGGGTGCATTCGGGTGCCTCTCTGTGTTAATACTACCTGACTTACTCTCTTTACTCAAGCCCGTTCCCGCTGCCCGGGCAGTTCCTGGTTCGAATTTTGAAGATTTCAATTCGGCCCTGCCCGTCCGAACAAACGCCCCGCTCACTTCGGGTATGCCCCCACGCCCATTGTGGGGGTAGTCTAACATGGTGCATAGAGAATGATCGTGTCCCCGGTCCTGTATCTTCCGGAGGAATTTTACGAATTTTTGTCGTTGGCACTTCGGTGCACGCCCCGTCCATTGTGTGCGAGGCTTAACATAGTTTGTGTGTATTCGGTATATTTTCAACATGCCCTCAGCCCCCATCCCAAAGTTGACGGCGTTTAAGAGTTTGTTGACAACGTTTTCAAAAGATTACGTCCGTGACACCACTCAGCTAAATATAGGCCCCGCCCATTGTGGGCGGAGCCTGTTTCTCCTATTTGGTCAGTTCCCGGCGGGGGGAAACCCAAAAACACACATGACAACTTCTGCATTTATATATGAGTATGATGATTGGTTATTCTGCGCTCACCTTTACGTACCACACTCGTTTCTTACTGCGAACAGACATCAAGGTGTAATCTCTTTGTACAACTGCGAGTACTGATTCCACGCCAGCTTCTCGCAGTAATTCTGACAGATTGGTCATGTTTGTCTTCGTGCTCAAACGTCCAAAATTATGGCTTCACCAGGGCCTGTTTTGACTTTTGATTGCAAATTATCGACAATATCTTTGATCTTGATTTGCGATTCGCACTCGAGCGTTTGCACTTGCCACCTTGTGGCGGCCGTCTCTTTTTTTTTCGCTTGCTTCAAGTTTCTTTGCGCGTTTCGTTTCTGAGAAACGCTTTGGATTTTTCTTCTTTCTGCGTAATTCATCTTCTGTAGAAGCGTACCTTTAGCGTTCCAAGCAGTCCTTTCGCGCGCCAGTGTTTCCAATTCGTAAAGGCACAAAAGGGTGTCATGTAAAGCATCTAGAAGCTTTCGCTGTTGTTTGTGCATAAGAATTGAGGTATGTTCATTTGTGGCCTTCCAACCACTGTGATGACGGATCACCATCCACAGCGTTAAATACTGAGATGGTCTTTTGAGTCGCAGAGGTATAGCATTGAGGTGCAGAATGCCAAGGGAAAGGCGCTTGCTGGTACGCTTAGAGTAAAGCAGTATTCACTTCAGTGTCAAAAGAACTTCTGGAAGGATAGTGATCTGGAAGCGAGACTCCGGAATAGCGGCCTTCGCTGCGAGAAAGCCAGTCAATATTCTATCAGCAGAAACGGCTAGAGCGGTCTATGTGGTTCCGAAAGCTTACAGGTACGAAATTTTCTTCAGGCGCTTGACGGACTAAATCAAGGTTATTTTAGCGCAAGGTATGTGTTGCGCAGATCAACCAAGGAAACTCATTGGCCTGGAATAGAGCAATACATTCACACATAGACGAAATAATATCAGAAATGTTTCGTGCCCAATCCGCGCCAAACCAATGGTTCCACCAGAAGTCCGTCATCACATCGAGACCGTACGAAATAGTGGGATTTGATGCTTCAGAGCTAGTATCAACAACTAAAAGAAATAGTTTTGTGGTCAGGGTAACAGATTTTTCGATGTGTGAAGCCGCTTGTCTTGTGCCAGGTAAATCGGCGGAGACGATTGCAAGAGCCACGTCTGTAGGGCGGACGAGACGAATGCCGGCTAGTTCAAAAGTCAAATTATGATTACCATCCCGAAAATTACTGAAAAGGCTTACAAAGGCTAGTGGGTACCACCCGAGTCGGCGGAGAAATGTCTCTATTTTGTGTTACATGGTGTAGACCACGTGTTCCGCTCGACATTATCCGTAATGGTGTAATATTCGGTATTCCATGGATTAAACGAAAGACGAGATTATAAACAGGAAATTTTGCAAGCCCTTGCAGAGACTCATGAGAGAATAAGAAAAGACAATAGTAAAAAAACGAGAGTCAGTGGAAAAGCACTGTACTAAAGATAACAAGGTAAGGAGTAAAACGTTCCTAGAGTTGGTGACTGTGTCTATGTTCTATCGCCTCCTGAGAGGGCATGAAAGGCGCATACAATGTTAGCAGGTCCTTTTGCGAGTGACTGAGACGAGTACAATTCAGCTCTGTTCAAGAGAATAGGAGAGGATAGCTACCCTTTAAGAGTAAACCTTGATACTTCGCGTCAAACTGGACTCTGTTCACAGTAGAGGACGCCTGTAGGAAAAAATTGGTGCATTCATTTCAGAGGACCCG